AAAATGAAAACAAAACATTTAATTATACACTTCAACACAGACTTCAGAGACTTTCACAAAAACTGAGACAAACCTTTTTAATAGCTTTAAACTCGTCCATGAATAGGTCACAGTCAGGGTAGGCTTCCACGAGGCTATTGAGCGCGGACAGGATGCGAGGAATGGGGGACGATGCCCGGGCCACGGTACGACTTGCAGGCACGGATAGTAGACGGTGCCTCCGGGCGCGTATGTAGTTATTTGGGGCATACAATCGAATCAGCTCACTGTGGAGATCAGGAGCATCTATGATCCCTCTGCAGATTTTGAGTGTGATGTGAAGTTGATTGTATGCCCTTCTAGTATCCAACATATTAAATCCTAAACATCCTGCAAGGTACTTTGTTGGATACATGTACGGATAGTAACCCAGAGAAAATTTGTAGAGGAACCTCAAGAATTTCTTTTGAACTTTTTCAAGTAGGAGTGAATAAGATGCCTCGTATGGACTCCAAATGCAGGAGCTGGCCTCTAGCTTGCTCCTGACAAGAGTGTTATATAAGAGTCTTATCACGTGTGCATTCTTGAAATCTTTTGAATTTCTTAAGACGAATCCAAGTCTTTTGAATGATTCCTTAGCAACCGTGGCGATATGATCGTGAAATGTCAACTTCTGATCGAAGACGACACCCAGGTCCCTCATACTTGATGATCTGGTTATAGGTGAACCATTTATTTTATAATCAAAGGTGATAGGGTGCCGTCCCCGACCAAAAGTCATGACGTAACACTTAGAAGGATTAAAATCCATTTTATTTGCAACTCCCCAATCATAAACCAGGTCTATGTCCCTCTGAACAGCCTCACAATCCGATATGCTGTTGACACAAGTGTAGAGTTTTAGATCATCAGCATACAGAAGACATTTTGCGTGTTGGGGAACATCTGGGAGATCGTTGATCATGAGAAGGAATAGTAAGGGGCCAAGGATTGAGCCTTGACTTACGCCGGATCGAGTGTGGTAAGTGCTGGACTCGTAAATTCCTAATTTCACATACTGCTGACGGTCACGAAGGTAGTCAGCCAGTAAGCGTAATAGGTTAGGGCAAATACCTATGGCATAAAGTTTCGCGAGCAAGATATCATTGTTGACGCGGTCAAATGCCTTTCGGAAGTCGAAATATAGAACATCAACCTGATGACGTCTATCTAGCTGTGATGAAATATATTCCGTCAAAGTCAACAAGTTAGATTCAACGGATCTCTTACATCTAAAACCATGTTGAGCGTTGTTAAGATGTTTTTCGACTTGTTCATATATAAGTTTATGAAGAACATTTTCAAATACTTTAGCAGGTGACGATAAGACGGCAATAGGACGGAATTCCTCTACAGCCGTCTTATTCGACGTTTTAGGTATAGGCGTCACGCGCGACACTTTCCATTGGAGGGGATAAAACCCAGTCTTAAGTGATAAATTAAATATGTGGGATAAAGGAGAAACGAACGAATTCTTGAGATGCTTGAGAATAGTGGGTGGCATACTATCCGGGCCCACGGAACTACTGACTTTAAGTTTATTTAACCCATCTAAAACATCCTTGGATGAGAACCGAAAGATGTTTATGTAATTGCTATTTTTGGTAGTGTCTGAATTTCCAATGCTGGTGACATTTAACAGTGGTTTATCTGGCAAAAACACACTGGCAAAAAATTTGGCAAAAACCTCCGCGGCTGCAGTACCGCTGTTACTATCGCCACAGTAGCTCACCGACGGTTCAAACCCTCCCTTAGATCTCAAACTGGATATATGTCGCCAGAATTCACGCGGGTTTACTCTAATATTATTCTCTACGCGTTTAATATGCGTTTGATATGCATTGGCAACACGATATTTTAAGGTACTCCGAAGATCTGAGAAAGGCTTATAGTCTTCAAGGCATTTAGAGCGCTTCCAAGTAGCGTGCAATATGAGCTTACGTTTGACATCTTTAATTATGTCAGATGTAAACCATACAGGGTACCGCTCAGTTATCTTCCTTGAACGACTTTTCTTAGGCATGCAGGTATCAAAAGTATCGTAGATAATCTGATAAAAGGCATTCACCGCATCAGCAACGCTAACGGCCCGCAAAACAGGATCCCAAGATGTCTCTGATAATAACAAGTACAGTTGCTCGTAGTTACATTTGTAAAAGTTCCAATCTCTGAAAGGGTTGATGTTGCTAGGATCCATAACATTCGAACAATGAACTGATTCAATTCTTACCTCAACTTCCAACGGAGGGTGATATGTATCTGGCTGAACAATACCATCAACGCCAGACACAAACACTTCGTGAAAACCTTCCCGGACCAATATGACATCCAACTTTCCACCATGAACATTTAAGATATCATTTTTGTCAACTAAAGAACAAAATGACAAGAAGTAGTAGTAGTAATTAGTGATATTATTAGATGCACTATTTAGATTAAGATCACCCATTATAACAACAAAGCCCTTAAAGTCATGTATGAAACCTTCGGTTTTGCAAAACCAACTCATGTAATCTTCATCGTTAGCACTAGGTTTGATGTACACAACACACACTAAGAATGCGAGGCTATGCCACGTAAAGGACGCCCACAAATCTTCGCCGCACTCGGTTTCGTACTCTCGTCTCCTGCGAAGCACGAGAGGCGCTCGCGCCGCTAGTAGAACGCCTCCACAGGGCGCATTTCTGTCACGGCGCAGGATACACCAGTCACCAGTTTCAATCTCAGAATCCAAGACCGAGGAGTCCAGAAAAGTTTCAGTGATAGCAACAAGGTTTTGCTCCAACAGGGATAAGTGGTTGCGCCACGCTGACAGCTTCGTCTTCAGACCTCGTACATTTTGGTAGCAAACATGTATGTTTTTACTTTTTTTGTGTTACCAGCCTTTTGGGATTAGGAATTTGAGGATTGTTGGGGATTCAGTGATTATTGGGTAATTAGGCCTCCGGTACACACGACGAAACAATGCAAGCGTTGTATCGCGTCGGTCTTCTATGAGGCAGTGGTATCACTCCGGTCGTACCCGGCCCATTGCATGGCTTTCCCACACTTATAAAATCTTTGCTTCTACAAAATGCTAGCGTAATAAGCGCAGTTAACTCGTCGAGTACCGTCATTATAGGCACAATTATAGAACAATAGGTTGCGGTCACCGGTGACCGGTTGGTGTTTGACAGTTTAACTAGTAAAAATTATTCATAAACAACAAAACACCTCTGTTTATGCTCTATAACCATAATTACGTCCAATAAAGTCCACAACCAATAAAAATTTTGTTATGCATTACTCCCGAATAGAATTTCATATCAAAGGCTTCAATTATGAAAATTGATAGCATTTACTCGGAAACTATTGATATCAAAGGATACCAGCCTTCAATAGAAATGTGACAACTCAATTGCTATCCAACTGCTTTCATGTCAAGTTGGAATATAGAATTATAGCTAGCTTTATGCCCGAGGCTTCGTCTGCATTCGATTTGATTGGGTAATCAGCTGTAACGCAGTATGTCAAGTTCGACCGCATCAGAGAACAATAAAATTCTTTATATTTTACAGAACATTTTTGTACCAGATGTGTAATGACATAACATAACATCATGCCTTTTATCCCCGAAGGGGTTTTTTTAAGGGGGGATATTCATCGAATGACTGCACCCGCCTGGGTGAGGCGGGAGGGAGTGTCAGACTCTTACTGACTAAAAACCACCCCGTTCCTTCTCCTGCACGTCGAGCCCCGGGTTACCCGTTTGGTTCTCCGCGATATCCCCGAAGGGGTATGCAGAGGTGCACATTACAGAACTTAATGCCACTGTCCAATATTACACCCACTTTTCACTATTTATGTTATAAGACCCATGTAATAGGGGGTGAGCCTATTGCCATATACCGGGCACATGTCCAGATTCCGTGCTACTGCTGAAAATTTAAAAAAAAGTAGTACATTGTCCGGCCCGGGAACGGCATTGTCGAACCCGAGTCTCCTTGCACTTACGATCACTCGGTCTACAAGGCAGTCATGTATGTGATGAATATTATCTAGTAAATACACCCAGAAAAAAAAACACAATCGTTAAAAAAAACAAAAAAAAACTAAACCTTAAGTAGGTATTACATATTATTATGTGCGTAAACCAAGACCAGCTTCTTTTATTCTTTTATGTTTTTACATTTATAAGTAAGTTTGTAACGAACAAACAAAAAAAACTGTCGTTTTAAAATATTACTACAACAGTATTGTATGTAAATAATACGCATTATAGCAAGTTGGCATTAGATATTCGTACGAACAACAAAAACATTCAATGTTTGTTTTTTTATAAATCTTTGCTTTGGTCCTAAGATCGCGAAAAGGTTCAAGTGTACCAGAGGGCACCACTGCCCGGTCTTTGTCAAATTTATTATGTCCTAGTCGGTTCTTACGAGTTCAACACCCACGGGAAGACTAGGAGTGGTCACAATCTACCAACAAGACAACTTAATAATATTATAAGAAAACAACAAACATATCGCTATCATATTACATTATCAAAACATTTTTTTTCCAATAATACAGCTCAATCATAATCACGAGTCAGTCATTACTGACTGATAAAATGTACGGAAATCATACAAATACCGATATGAAAATTTTTCAATGGTACTAACTCATCAATCCAACAAATCCATTATAAACTGACCTTTAGATATACGATAAGTTCAAACAAAGCGAGGTCATAATAAATTGGTTATATGTGTCTTGTGTACTCGTTGCATCGTACTGCAGATTACATGAAACCCGAGTGTTGCCGAATGATTACGAATTCGCCCGACGCTTGTAAGCTGGTTAAATGCGTATGAAATGTTGAACAGTACTGTGATCGGTTTTAAGTGGAAATTGTGACTCTTTACAGAATAAAATATGATTGCATTACTCGCTAATGAAATGAAATTAATTGTTTTTATAATAATTATCGTGAGACATACTTAATTAACTAAAGATCGCGGGTTACTCACGTGAATATACTGAGAAAAGCTCTACTAGTTTCGAACCACAGAGGGGTTCTCCCTCATGAGCAGCGTGTGCGGTCGCGGCGACGTCGCGCAGTTCAATGAGATACAGAAATTAATTGATTTCTTATGAAACATGATGATAATAATGGCTGTGTTTTTCGATTGCAAAATTTTTAGCAGTATGTAGTGTTTTTTTTTAAATATTTGATGGGCCGACGTTTAGCCACTATCTCGCCTGGTAGTAAGCGATGATACGATGTACGATGGAGCACGTTACCCCATAAGCAACCTATTCACTCGGGCCTTGAAGATACCCAGGTTATACACTTCAAGAAACACAGATTCTGGCAAATTAAAGAATTAGGAATTTGTAGTGTGACTGGGTATTTTGCTTCTATCGTGATGTACTACACAAATAATAACGTAACTGGCGAAAGTTTTGATTACCACTGAGTGTATTTACTAGGTTCATTGTCGTGTTATAAAAAAAAAATCATTAAATGTTATTTCATTAATACACATTTTTAAAACAATGACAAAATTATTCCATCTTTTTTAATATGTCGGCGTAAAAATAAAAAAGAATACATACAACAATTTCATAAGCGCATGTGTGTATTCAAAAATATACCTTATGTTTAAAACATTGTATGTATATCGAGATGTAAATTCTGCGCACCCATAGGGTTGCTACCTAAATATTTTATCATATTTCTTGCCGCAGACTTTGGGTTGGATGTCACGCGCAGCCCTGTAACAATTTATCACGTGGATCAGACATGGATCATATTCTTTCTAGAATCTTCGAAATCATATATGATGAATGTTTCTGTTAGATACAGACGAAATCAAAAGGTACAAGATTGATTGGGAAATCTATCTTTTTACTTAGACCAGCCAGCATATTAATCTACTCCAATCTGTCAAACTCATTCATTGGAATTTCGACTTCATATCAATAAAATAAGGTTGAAGATGTAATGGAGAAATTTGACAGAAAATGATTGGTTGAACCGCTAGCTGCCGTACATGAGTGGAGTTCCTGGAACTTTTTTAAAAGTAATAGTCTCTAGTACTATTTTTGCCTCTTATCCTGAGTGATGATGATGTTATTTGAGTAAATCTGTGTACAAGAAAGAAAGAAAAAAAATTACTTCACAGGTTAAAAACCAGTGACATGTATAGACTATACACGATTATAAGGATTAAGTTATAATTACTTATGGGTACATGTTCATGTCGCTAGTCTGCGGCGTAATGGGACCAGTTCTGCACTGGTGGGACTGCACGGTTGCCGGGAACAACGCTTTGTGTGATCCACAAATTGTTGTTTCGGGTCTGGGTGTCATTGTGAACTTGTATGTTTGTAAACGCACCTAAGACACAGGAGAAAATCCTAATGTGGGGCAATGTATTTAAAAAAAGACAATTCAGCAGTTACAAATATTACAAATTGTGAACTCGTTAATTCAGCCACTGTATCATCATCATCCTCACCACACAAAAATACATAATCTTTCCTTATTTAACTTTACATCGAGATAAAGCAGAAATACCGACGTACTATAATTCCTGCAGGAATTTGTTTACTTTCCAATTTACTGCAAAATCTCACGGAGAATTAATTGAACGCGAGTTTTTACTTCACATTATTGGAATTTCAAAGATTACTGTTACGAAGATAAAGGATTAAAAAATGCACGTCGCCATGAAAACCCTTTACTTTGTAATAGACTTTTGTTTGCTGATGAATAATACTCCTACGATTTATAAGGACACCCAAAGTCAAGTCAAAATTATTTATTTCAATTAGACCAAGATGACACTTTTGAACGTCAACAATAAAAATTTAGAAGTGAAGCTAGTTGCTCATTCCAAGGTGTTGATTCCTATGGAGAAGAACGAGAAAGAAACTCCATAGGTTACTCTTTTTCAATCAGGTTCACAATACAGTTCAAAACAATACAAAGTAATACATTCATGAAACCTGGGATAGTTTTCAAAGGAGCTACATCAAAATGACAATAAAATTTGGAGGGATCAAAACCTCCCAAGATCAATCTCAATGGGAATAAGACTATCGCTCAAAATAAAGTTGTACGCACAATCCCAAAAGCATCCTAATTGAAAAAATCGGACACGGCACCAACACCACATGGATTGTTTTTTTTTTTTAAGTGGGGAAAATCATCGAATGACTGCTCCCGCCTGGGTGAGGCGGGAGGGAGTGTCAGACTCTTACTGACTAAAAACCACTCCGTTCCTTCTCCTGCACGTCGAGCCGGAGCTCCGGTTACCCGTTAGGTTCTCCGCGACAACACCACATGGATTAGGACACTACCAACGAGACATAATAATAAAAAAAAAAGAAATATCTACATAGACTATTTTTTACCTGACCGTACTGCAAAAAGAGTAGGTACTATAAAAATCAAAGCAAAGCGCATCAAGTCACATTAAGCAGTTGCATAATATCAAGATGTTATGTCAAGCTGTGCTGACGTCGATACTGGTTCACGTCATAGTGGGTTTAAGTCAACATGCTCTGCAGTTTGGGATTGAGTACTTTCAGTACAGAGGGTTGAAGTTTATTTGTGTTATGACATGTGATAAAGATTTCAGTTGTAAGTAATATAATTTTCAGTTATTTTACATTGATTTTACACAGTTTTATTTAGGATAATTTTAGTCTGGAAATTTAGATAGTAATGATCCGATGGGATCATAGGATGTGTACCCCAAATGTAAAAAATGATTAGACTTATAAGTCTGGGAGAGCCATGCTTCGGCACAAATGGGCCGGCTCGACCGGAGTGATACCACGGCCTCACAGAAAACCGACGTGAAGCAACGCTTGCGTTGTGTTTCGTCGTGTGAGTGAGGTTACCGGAGGCCCAATTACCCCCCCAATCTTCGAATCCCCAACAATCCTCAAATTCGTAATACCCAAAAGGCCGGTAACGCATTTGTAACACCTATTGTGTTTCGGGTGTCCAGGTAACAGCTTATTATATAAGTAAAAAAATTGCGTAGAAAAAATTAAACCTTGTTTGTATAAGCTTCAACTAGAACGATAGCGTAAATGACAACGTACCTTTGCGTGATTTCAATTTTACAGTGATTATTAGATACATTATAACTCTAATATAAAATAATTTTGTACGTTTGCTTCAAAGTAAATTCAACGTTTCGAAGTTTAAGGGGAACTTAACTGCTTCAGTTTAAAAAAGTCGTAGGTACCACTATTTTACCGTCCCCGACGATCTCCGGCCACCGTAAGCGCGGGACTGCGGACGGCGAGCATGGGTGGCTCCCCGTCCGACCAGAAACAGACCCGAGCGTACGGCGCGTCCCGTTCCACGCGCGCCTCAAAGAACCACAGATGAGGCCCAAAAGGGCCGATGCCGATTCGGAGTCGCGGAAAACCTAACGGGTACCCAGGGCTCCGGCTCGACATGCAGGAGAAGGAACGGGGTGGTTTTTAGTCAGTAAGAGTCTGACACTCCCTTCCACCTCACCCAGGCGGGAAGCAGTAATTCGATGATATTCCCCCTTAAAAAAAACACATTCTATTTTTAGGGACTGTTCAATACTCAAAGGCGTCACAAAATCTCTCTATGGCGATATCAGGCGTGTCAATAGACAGCTCTGTGATAGATTACAATAGAGTCGAGAATTGCTTGCAACGGAAGTTGCACCCTGTTGGCGTTATCGTAGATGCTCATTGTGGAAGCACTGAGGATGTTATGAACTTTGTGAGTACATGTTTATGTTTATTTGAAATTCACACTTCATTTAACTCAAATTGGAGTCATTTTAGTCTAAGAACAAGGTAGTGATGCTATACATTCTTGTACATGATAATAAGTTTATAAAATAAAGTCAGTTTTACTATAACCCTTCCATTGTTAAAAAAAAACGTAAGGTTTTTAGCAATACCTACTGTTCCTAATGTCTTTATACTACGACTTTCCTGCCCTGAATAAATCTTTTTTTATTATAAAGATTATTATGTATTTTTATAAGATTTTTTGAAAACGTCTAGAAATATGACTGCCTCGTTGGCCGAGTGGTCGCAAGTGCGACTGCCGGGCAAGGGGTCTCGGGTTCGATTCCAGGGTCGGGCAAAGTATTAGTGGGTTTGTAAAAACCTCAGTAGGTGCACGGAGTGTGGAAATGTGCCCGGTATATGGCAATAGGCTCACCCCCTATTACAATTGGACTCATAACATAAAATAGTGAAAAGTGGGTGTACAGTGTGGCATTAAGTGCCGTAATGTGCAGCTCTGCTTACCCCTTCGGGGCGTGATGTTATGCATAAGACCATAGACAACCGCTAGACGTTGCGATTGCTGACAGTAGGACATCCCCTACATAAGAGGGTTTGTCATAAACTCCCCCTAGGTAGTCAAACTAGAAACTACAATTTAACATAGTTCCGACCTTCAAACCTTCAAGAAAAGAGCATATTCCCTTTTAAAAGGCCGGCAACGCACCTGTGACTCCTCTGGTGTTGCGGGTGGTGTCCATGGGCGGCGCTGATCGCTTACCATATCAGGTGATCCGCCTATTCGTTTGCGTCCTATTCCATAAAAAAACATGGTTCTATCTACAGGCTTCCCAAAACATAATAGGGTTGGACTCAAATCACAAATGGCTCCTTATAGACGATGACGAAGCTTATACATGGTGTAATGATACTTACGACACTGAGTTCGACGTGAACTTGACTGGCAGTGGTAATGGGAGCTTGATTGAAATGCTCCAGCATTTGAATATCAGCGTGGATGCTGATATTGTGACTGCTTATAGAGGTAAGATATTTAAAGGTTAACGCACTGGTTTAAAATATCGTATGTCACTTGTGAGTGAATCTACAAAATAAGGATAGAACTTGTAGCTAATTTCTACTTAAACTTTTTTTTGACTGCACCGTTGGCGAAGTGACTGGGCAACTGACTGCCGTGTAAGATGTCGCGGGTTCGATTCCTTCAGGAACAACTCTTTGTGTGATCCACAGATTGTTGTTCTTGGTCTGGGTGTCATGTGTATGTGAAATTATATGTTTATATACGTACCTACGACAGTTAAAAATCCTAGTGCGTGACAACGTTTTAAAAAAAAACTATATTTAAGTAGTTTTTTTTGTACTAAGTCATTTTTTCTTAATAAAACTAGTTTGAACCAATACCAAATCTAAACTCACCAGTCAAATACCTAGGAAGTGACAGTATAAAAGATAGGAAATGACGTCATCCTACCGTTCAAAGCAGGCATCTCATTTCCTGCACTAGTATAGTTCGTATCCTGTATTTACTCGATATTATTGTACAACAACTTTGTGACGCAGTTTGCTTGGAATAGCAGTTTTATAGAATAACGAGCTGACTCGGCAAACGTTGTATTGCCATATAAATAATTGCCTAAAAAAAAATTTAGAGGTGGACTACCCCTAACATAGAAAGATGAAAAATAGATGTTGGTCGATTCTCATAGATACCGGATAAGCACAAAAAATTTCATCAAAATCGGTCAAGCCGTTTCGGAGGAGTATGGCAACGAAAACTGTGACACGAGAAATTTATATATATATATTAGATTAAGTTTGCTTTTGACTTATAAAGAAGAAGATCTTTCAAGTGACTGCCTCGTTGGCCGAGTGGTCGCTAGTGCGACTGCCGGGCAAGGGGTCTCGGGTTCGATTCCCGGGTTGGGCAAAGTATTACAGGGTTTTTAAAAAAAATCTCAGTAGTAGCACGGAGTCTGGAATTGTGTACGGTATATGAAAATAGGCTCACCCCCTATTACATGGGACTCATAATAAATAGTGAAAAGTGGGTGTTACATTGTACAGTGGCATAATGTGCACCTCTGCTTACCCCTTCGGGGATAAAAGGCGTAATTTCAAATTTCAAGTCAACTTATAATGATGATACTAAGATTTTTTTTTTTTTTTTTTTTTTTTAAGGGGGGAAAATCATCGAATGACTGCCCCCGCCTGGGTGAGGCGGGAGGGAGTGTCAGACTCTTACTGACTAAAAACCACCCCGTTCCTTCTCCTGCACGTCGAGCCGGAGCCCCGGTTACCCGTTAGGTTCTCCGCGACTCCGAATCGGCATCGGCCCTATTGGGCCCCATCTGTGGTGGTCTGATGGCTCTTTGAGGCGCGCGCGGAACGCGACGCGCCGTACGCTCGGGTCTGTTTCTGGTCGGACGGGGAGCCACCCATGCTCGCCGTCCGCAGGCCCGCGCTTACGGTGGCCGGAGATCGTCCCGCGATCCCCGACGCCCGGTGTGTCCTTCGCGATGGCTGGGTTGCGAGGAGGCAGCGCTTCGCTGCCTCACGCGTCCCGCCTCCTCCTTAGCTAGCATGACTGCTTCGCAAAAGGAGGAGACGGCATCCCAATCCCCCTCGCTCCGCATCATGGCCTGCACTAGGCCCGGACGCGAGAGGTCGCCATCGCCGATCACTTCCCTGAGGACACGGCGGTGCTCAGCCCACGAAGGGCATTCTCCCACCGTGTGTTCCACCGTGTCCTCAGGGCGGTCCTCGCAGTGATGACACCCGGGCGTTTCCTCCCGCCCCATCAGACACAGGTACCTCCCGAAACTTCCATGTCCGGTGAGGACCTGCGTCAGGCGGTAGGTGAGGACGCCGTAGCGTCTCTCAAGCCACTCCTCAAAGAGGGGACTTACCGCTGCGATGGCAGCGAGCCCAATGATACTAAGATAGGTAATTAACTCGTCGAGTACCGGTTTTGCAGACACAATTATAGAACAATAGGTTGCGGTCACCGGTGACCGCTTGGTATTTGACAGTTTAAAATGCACATTTTTGGAGCTGTTACACGTTCAATTCTCGCACGGGGTTCGATAATATGTGTGTGTGTTAATCATAGAACACAACTTACAGAAAACATCATGCTTCGTTGACGCACTATCAATTTCAAAATAATAGTCACCCAATCCCGCCAAACCATTAAAGTAAAAGGAACAATTAAGAGAATGTTCCAAAGAAAAAAGGTTATCATTAGAAGTTCAGTTTTATCTCAGGATCTCAGTAACTAACGACGTGTGGAAGTGGTACTTAAGATCTTATCGATAAGTACTAAGAAGAAGTATCTGCTTCACTTAGAAGGAAGAAACTAGATGTAGTTCATTTATCAGGTATATTGGCTTTGGGTAATATAACTTTTACTAGCTGTTACCCGCGACTTCGTTCCCGTGAAATTATTCATATTTCTTGTTAATTTATACTTTTTTGACGCGACAACGTGTATATAGGCATTTTTGAGAGCTAGTATGAAACGGAACGTTTATTGTCTACTCAAGATGGCGCCTGCAGTTTGTCTGTCAGTGTCATTAAAATGAATTAATAAAACGAAATAATTTCCGTAATCCGAATTTTGCTGATATACATATGTTGTCGACTTGAAATCGATATTTTTTTATGTATTGGTATTCAGGTAATGTTTCGATCGAGTCTACCGTACCCCTTGACGAAATTATTAATATAATAAATAGAAGAGTAGAAGAAGAGATAGGTACTAACTTTGACGAGATAGATAATTTGTATCTTATATGCCAGCGACTTCATACGCGCAATTCCGTTTGCTCCCATTTTTAAGAAGCCACAAGAACCTTCTCTTAATAATAACATATAACATATAACATCACGCCTTTATTCCCGAAGGGGTAGGCAGAGGTGTACCTACATTATGCGACTGTACAATGTAAAACCCTCTTTTCACTATTTATGTTATGAGTCCCATGTAATAGGGGGTGAGCCTATTGCCATATACCGGGCACAATTCCAGACTCCGTGCTACTACTGGGAATTTTTGAAAAACACAGTAATACTTTGCCCGACCCAGGAATCAAACCCGAGACCACTTGCCCGGCAGTCGCACTTGCGACCACTCGGCCAACGAGACACTCCTAATAATGGGAATCATTTTTATATAATATAGATTATATAAAGCTGAAGAACCGTTTCTTTGCTTGAACACGCTAGACTCAGAAACTACTGGGATAATTTGAAAAAAAATTGAGTTGGATAGAGTTCTATTTGTCAAGGAAGGCAATAGGTTATGAAATATTATTACGATCGATATAATATTTAGATCGAAATATTATTTAGGTCGGCGCCGAGCAGTGCGGGAGAAACCGCGCAGCTTTAGCTAGTTTGATATAAAATTTGAATAAGGGTTTAAGAGATGTAACTAAAGTTACAAAATATCAATACGGTCGTGTAAACATAAGAACAAGAAATAATAAACATAATATAACATCACGCCTTTTATCCCCGAAGGGGTAGGCAGAGGTGTACATTATGCCACTGTACAATGTTACACCCACTTTTCACTATTTATGTTATGAGTCCCATGTAATAGGGGGTGAGCCTATTACCATATACCGGGCACAATTCCAGACTCCGTGCTACTACTGGGAATTTTTGAAAAACCCAGTAAATCTTTGCCCGACCCGGGAATCGAACCCGAGACCCCTTGCCCGGCAGTCGCACTTGCGACCACTCGGACAACGAGACAGTCCTAATAATGGGAATCATTTTTATATAATATAGATTATATAAAGCTGAAGAACCGTTTGTTTGCTTGAACACGCTAGACTCAGAAACTACTGGGATAATTTGAAAAAAAAATGTATTGGATAGAGTTCTATTTGTCAAGGAAGGCAATAGATTATGAAATATTATTACGATCGATAGGCGCCGAGCAGTGCGAGCGAAACCGCGCAGCTTTAGCTAGTTTGATATAAAATTTGAATAAGGGTTTAAGAAATGTAACTAAAGTATCAAACAAAATATCAATACGGTCGTGTAAACATAAGAACAAGAAATAATAAACATAACATAACATCACGCCTTTTATCCCCGAAGGGGTAGGCAGAGGTGTACATTATGCCACTGTACAATGTTACACCCACTTTTCACGATTTATGTTATGAGTCCCATGTAATAGGGAGTGGGCCTATTGCCGTGCTCAATTCCAGACTCCGTGCTACTTACTATGGAGAATTTAAAAAAAACTCAGTAATACTTTGACCGACCCAGGAATCAAACCCGAGACCACTTGCCCGGCAGTCGCACTTGCGACCACTCGGCCAACCAGGCAGTCCTAATAATAACAAATACAACAAAAAAGAATTAGTGAAATCGGTCCAGCCATTCACGTGTGATGCCGTGACCTAGGGAAAGAGGGAATCATTTTTGTATAATATAGATTATACCTCTATAAAGCTGAAGAACTGTTTGTTTGCTTGTTTGTTTGAACGCGCCAATCTCAGGAACTACTGGACTGATTTGAAAATAAGAATGACTTGTATAGTGTTCTATTTGTCGAGGAAGGCAATATACTTATGAAATATCACGCTACGATCGATAGGCGCCGAGCAGTGCGAGCGAAACCGCGCAGCATTAGTTATATAATTATAATATTAGAAACATCTGGTTTAAGAAATGTAACTAAACTTAGAAAATAACAATACAGTCATTCAAAATATATCTAAATTACGTACAATTGACCTCAAATAGTTAGGTGCCTGCACTAGGACAATCCTGTATCGCAGGCGATCCTGTATCGCAGGCGGTAATAATTAAAATAAGAAGGAATAAACATAACCTTTATATTCTTAATTTCAGAAGACACAAAATACATACTCCAAGAAGTGTATAATTTTGGCAAAGTACAAGGAGGCAATTTAATTATTC